AAGATCCAGAAGTATTTCTTTGAACAACAGTAACAGGAGAGGAAACTTGGCTTTCCCAGTATGATCCTGAAAATAAAGCACAATTGAAGTAATGGTTACCAAGAGGGTTACAAGTGTTTCAGTCAAAGCAAAAGTGATCAGTCAAGAGCAAAGGTTATAGCAACAGTTTTTTGGGATTGCCAGGGCAATTTGATTGTTCATTTCTGGGAAGGCAAAGAATGATAAGTCTACTTACTATGAGAATGTTTTGAGAAGTTCGCCAAAACTTTAGAAGAAAACCACCAGGGAAATCTTCACCAGGGAGCCCATTTCAGCATGACAATGCTTCCCCTGCTCATACCGCTCATCAAACAAGGAACGTTTAAAATCTTAAATCTTAAGAAATCTTTAAAAGGAGCTATTTTTTCATCAGTTAAAAATGTAAAAAAGAATTTTCTTGGGACGTTTCAGTTCCCGGAATTGTGAGTTTTTTTTAAGGATGGTGTAAAACGTATCATCACTGACAAAAGTGTCTGCAATATGATGAAACTTATGTTGACAAAGCTCGTATTTTTAATGTTCATCTTTTAATTTCAGTTTTCCATGAACTTTTGATGTTCTCTTATATATGATTGCATAAAGTATCAAATTACCTTTTCTAACCCAATTTCATTCTATTAAAATTTTAAGTCTTATATACTTTTCTTAAATTATATTACAAATAAACATCCTAGTCTTAGCTTAGTGTGACATGTTTTACAGAATATCTTGAGTCCTGCATACATATAAGGGAGGAATGCTATGAGATTTGACAATCCCATCTTCTTGTTACCTGCCTGCTACTTGGTGTGCCACTTATGAGACGCACCTGCTATTTTCTGAGATTTTGTATTTTAAGTCATTTTTTTTTTTTTTTTTTTGCCTTCCTTCTCTCTCTATTCCTATCTTTAGGCAAAGAAAGAAGTACTTCAACTTTTGCTGTGATTTTTATGGATAATTATTGACTTCCGTTTTGTTGTTGTTAAGTGCATTCAAGTTGATTCTGACTGATAGCAATTCTGTATAGGATTCCCAAGGAGCGGCTGGTGAGCTTGAATGGCCGACCTTGAGGTATAAACTGACTTTGCAGTCCAGTGCATTAACCCACAGCGCCACTTCCATTTTAGGTGATAAAATCTGCTTATATACTCTGAGCAGGAGAAAAAAAGCATACAACGTAGTAGGTATGTGCTTTTACACAGTCACTTATAAAAAACAAATGCAAACCCTTTAAATATGTAAACTTTTATATATATAGTTAAAATCAACAGATTTCTTCTTTAGTTGTATTAGATCAGAAACCAATTCCATGGGAGTTTATATAAATACTTAATTTATTTTATAGATTGTTTTTATTTAGTCGTAAAAGTAGTACTCTAGATTTCAGTCAGAAGTCTTGGATACATTAGGGGGAAAAAAAAAAAAATGTTGGTTATAGCATGGGCAGAGCAAGAAAATTCTATACCCAAACATTAACAGCGGAGTTCTTTCTCTCTCTTTTATAGGGTTCAGTAGCCATTACACAGTCTTTTGTATCCTTTAGTATCTTTCTTGTTGTTGTTATTGTTAGGTACCATTGAGTCAGTACTGATTCATAACGACCCTATGCACAACAGAACGAAACACTGCCCGGTCCTGGGCCAACCTCACAATTGTTGCCACGCTTGAGCCCATTGATGCTGCCACTTTGCCAATCCATCTCTGTGAGGGCCTTCCTCTTTTTCTCTGACCCTCCACCTTACCAAACATGATATCCTTCTCCAGCAACTGGTCCCTACTGACAAAACATCTGAAGTTTGAGAGATGAAGTTTGGCCATCCTAGCCTCCAAGAAGCACTCTGGCTGCACGTCTTCCAACATGGATCTGTTGGTTCTTTTGGCAGCCCATTGTACTTTCAATATTCTCCTCCAACACCATAATTCAAAAGCATCAATTCTTCTTTGGTCTTCCTTATTCACTGTCCAGCTTTCGCATGCATATGAGGTTATTGAGAATACCATGGCTTGGGTCAGGTGCACCTTAGTCCTCAAGCTGACATCTTTGCTCTTCAACACTTTAAAAAGGTCTTGTGCAGCAGATTAGCCTAATGCAATACGTTGTTTGATTTCTTGACTACTGCTTTCATGAATGTTGATGGTTGACCCAAGAAGAATGAAGTCCTTGACAACTTCAATCTTTTCTCTGTTGATAAGAATGTTGTTTATTGGTCCACTGGTTAGGAGTTTTGTTTTCTTTACACTGATATGCAAACCATAGTGAAGGCTGTGCTCTTTGATCTTTATCAGTAAGTATTTTAAGCCTTCTTCACTTTCAGCAAGCAAAATTGTATCATCATCTTTATTTGTACTTATTTTGCCTTGAGTTGGCAGAGATTTGATAAGGATCTGAGTGATATGTGTTCTGTGTTTATCTCCCCTGGTCATACTCTCATTGTTTTTATCCGATGCATCTCTATCTGGGCAATAGAGTCAGTCATTTAAAAGTTTCCTCATAAATCAGTAGTGTTATCTTAGTATTTGAAGCAAATGAATCTCTTTGTTTTGCTTGGAATTGCTCTTTAACACTCTATAGAAAAGTTCATTTGGAAATGCCCAAAGCCTAGCTAAGTACAGTTCCTTCAAATTCTTCAAGCCTATCAGTGTGTCAAGCAGGATTACATGAAAGCTATGCACTTGGGCTACATTTCAGCAGCCCTCTGAATAGATTCCTTAACAGAATTATTATTTAATAGTATGCCTTCACCTTTTATCGGGTCAACTGAAGAGAAGGCTGTATGACAACCATTTCTATTAGCTTATATAAAATTGCAGTTGAATTCTGTGGTTAACGTTAGTTCTTACATTTTATAGAGGTTCATCTGGTAAAGCCTTAGATTTTTATCCTAGAAGAATTTCCATCTCTTCTCATGAACTGCTATCTGTTCTTTTATTAGATACTAAGTGCTTTATAGCTCAAGTTTCCCACTTTGAGTGGCTTTCTAAGAAGCACAGAGCCAAATTGATTATAGCTCAGGTTTGATGGTGAAATCCTTACTAACATTCTTCTTCATTTAATTAATTTATTTCTGTTCTTGTTCGGTTGTTTTAATGGTGCTCTTTTAAGCCTTTTCTAGAAACAGTATATAAATAACTAAATGAAAGAGGTTATTTAATTCTGAGTTCTACTGTCAGAGTATCTAACTGCACAACACCTTGAGAAAATGATTATTATTCTTTAACCATACTGCCCTAAGTACTTTAAAAAGAAAAATATGAGAAATACTCTTAAATCAGGACCCAATTAAGAAAGCCTTCTGTTTAGCTCTGAGCATAGTTTAGAAATGTTGCCATGCTGCGGAAAATGGAAACTGATTCTGAAGCTCTTGTTCGGGATGTCATTGTAAATTTTAGAGTTGAGGACACACTTCAGAACATGGGATATTAAAAAGAAGAAGAGCTTAGCGGGTACACCATTGCATTCATATATTCAAAATGACAGCCATTGCAGTTACAGAGTTCTGCCATCAGATTTTTTTTTTCTTTTATTTCACACAGCTTTGGATCTTGGTTTGGACTTTTATCTCTTGGTTCAGAAGATGCACACAAGGAAATATTTGATTTTGCCAAATATTCTTTTTTTTTTTTTTTAAAGCTTTTATTGTCCATTGAGTGATAGTTTACATGGGAGAATATCAGTTTTGCACTCATCCTATCGTATTTTGTATCACTGCAGTGATTACAGTCCCCTCCATGCATCACCATTCAAGAGAATTTACTTCTATTTCCTCTTTATTTTAATTTGTTGTTCTTGCTTTTGATGTGTAGTAAAACACTCAGTAATATATAATCATTTAAGCAACCAAAGGGCATATTCTGTAAGCCTGCCTCCTGGCCATCAGCACACAGCCTTTCTCTTTCCATGAGTCTAGAGTCCTCAGCTGCCCTATCTTTCCATATCCTCATCTCTGCCTCCATCTCTGGTGTCACTGCTTCTGTGGATTCCACTTGTGCTTTTCTCCCTTGATGGTCCTAGGATTCTCTCTTCCTGGAATGTAAGATTAACTACTGCCCCCTTTTTGTTATAAAACTTCTACCTTTATAATTGTGACAGTCATAATTAGTCATGATAACATTTACTCACTGTTGAGTCATGAGTATCTTATCCCCATCTCTTTTTACCTGACCCATCTAGACAAGATGAAAACTATTCAGTGAGAATTCTGGCTTTCCTTGCACACTCTGACACTAAACTCCCACTTGAAAACTTATAAGCCAGCCACTTCATGCCTTTAGAGTCCCTCTTATTTTTGGTAGCCAGTGTCTAAGTAGTCTATATGTATCAACCCTGTATACAGAGAGGATATGTTTGATCCTTGATGTGAAGTCTCCTTCCCTCTTGTTTGGTATCTTGAGCAACTACATCCATAAGTATAGGTCAAGTTTATTAAATTGCAGCAATTTACACTTGTTTCCTTTATCAAATTTCTTTATCTTCTTCTATTTAACTTCTGATCATCAAGCCATTGAAGTTAGGTCAAATGGGTACTTTCTCTGCAAGTTTGGGCATTCTTGTGCATCTCCCCTCACTTAATGTCATCTGGACACTTCACTCTTGGCTCTAGCCCTCTGTGGCTAGGTCCTTGTCAGTGGACTTAGGAATCCTCAGGTCTCACCACACTTCTGTGTTTGCTAAATTATTCTTAACATTTGCTGAAGCTATAGGTTACATAAAATTCAGATTGCTGGTACAATTTATTTTTGCATTGCAATTTATCTTCCAGAAAAACTGATGAAATGTGTATACTCTGATTTACTAATTTATGTTGAGTGTGATAAAAAATGCCAAAAATGTGTCCAAATAGACAGCACATGTTTTGGGTGTTTAAAATTTTTATTATTACTCAAACATATTTTTAACAAGTTAATTACTTTTTTTTATGTTAAAATATATTTTACCTTTTCTAATGATTAAGTCATGAAACATGTTGGTTGTTCTACTATAGGATCCTGGTTACTGGGTGAAGATCCATCACTTAGAATACACAGATGGCGGAATCCTGGATCCAGATGATATCTTGGCAGATGTAGTTGAAGACAAAGATAAGGTAGATGACTCTAAAAATGTTCCTCATTGTTTTTTTCTGTAGAGCTGCATGTTTTTGAGTAATTGAAATCCTTAACAAATCCATGTGTCAATTACTGTTAAAAGGTACCATCTGTTCAGGCTTTACCTGGACAGCCCATAAATCAAAGTTCTTTATCAGATGTTTGGAAAAACTTAGTCAAGATTTGGGAATCTGTTCTTGGTAGCCTAATTAGCAGACACTTCATTCCCAAGAGTTCCTGTTGTGTCTCATTAAATTAGTGTCAGTTGCTGAGGCTGTTGGGTTTCTCACCATCATTGCTGGCTGTGGAATTGATTCCTGGCCCTGGCTAAATATTCAGTTTAATTCCGGAAGTTTGAGTGTGTTTCAAAGAATTGAATACACTGGAGAAGGAAGTCTTATGAAGAACTATGGTGAAGATTTTTTCTTAAATTAGCTGGTGAGAAACTGTACTGAGTGTCTTGTTTTCATTGCTAAAGCAAAAAAACACTTGAGTCAAATATTGGAAAATATTTGTTTTTTAAGGGATAGGGTTTTCAGGAAATAAACTTTATTAAGCCTTAATTTTAAAGTAAGCTACATAAAGTTTTGTTTGTTCTGGATCTCTGAAATATGATAATAATCAGATAAGGATGATCCAGGTATTGATGCTTAGGAATACTTAAGAACTCTAGCCCTGCATGTCAATCACTACTGGATTTGAAAAGGTTTCCAGAACTACCTGTACAAGTTAGCACATGTAGCTACAACAGTTTTCATTTTGTATGTGTTAAGGAAGTAGTAATAACCCTTAAAGGAGCCATGATGGCTCAATGATTAAAGCACTTCATTGTTAACTAAGTTGGTGGTTCAAACTCATGAGTGGCTCACCATGAGAAAATACCTGGCAATCTGCTTCGGTAAAGACCACGGCTCCGGACAGTCCATAGAGTAGTATTTCTACTGTCTCCCATAGGGCAGCTGTGAATTGGAATCATCTCCGTGTGCACTGTAACAACAGCCCTTACCCACTGGGAAAAAGGCCATTGTCTTTAGAGGCCCTGTAACCTTATTAGCTATACTAACTCTTTACTTAGTCCTTTTCTTAAGTATTTTGCTAAGTTTCTAAGAAAACAAAAAAGGAGGTTTTTTTCCCCCTTTGTGATTCTGCAACTGCTATCCCTACATTCTCTCTAATTACCTTTTATGTCTCTCTGATCTGAGAGGTGTTTTATCTTGTCTGACTATTAATTTTCTTTTTTCGCTTCAGCATGCTTTTTCAAGATTTCTATTCAGGCAGTGAACATGCGAGGCTTTAAAAGCCTCTGGATAGGTAAGCCAGTTGTCTTCAAGTTGACACGATTTGCCTGACCCCATGTGTGTCAGCAAAGAATTCTGCTTACGTTGTTTCAGATGGTTGGTTTTTCAGAAGAAGATCACTAAGACTTTCTTCTGAATGAATATTCCAAATCCTTTGAACAGTTCAAAAAGTTCTTGTCAAAATTCCATTATCTTTCAATTCCATTTTTCCACAAACATACACACAAAAAAAGTGTAAATATTTTGTTTTAATGGGATTTTTTATTTAATGCGAAACTGAGAACTGTCTTGTTATTAGATGCTGTTGAGTCAGTTCTGACTCATAGTGACCCTATACACAACAGAGAGAACACTGCCTTGTCCTGCCTCAACCTCATAACCGTTGTTACATTTAAGCCCATTGTGCTGGGGCTCTTCCACTGTTTCACCGAACCTCCATTTACCAAGCACGATGTCCTTCTCCAGGGACTGGTCCCTGCTCATAACATGTCTGAAGTATGAGAGATGAAATTTCACTATCCTGGCTTTTAAAGAAACATTCTGGCTGTACTACTTCCAAAATAGAATTGTTCTTTTGGTAGTTAATGGCACTTTTAATGTCCTTCTCCAGTACCATAATTCAGTTGCTTCAATTCTTCTATAGTCTTACTCATGGTTTAAATTTTGTATGCGTAAGAGGTGATTGAAAATACCATTTCTTTGGTGAAGTACACCTTAGTCCTCAAACTGATATCTTTACTCTTTACCACTTTAAAGAGGTCTTGTGCAGCACATATGCCGAACACAGTATGTTGTTTGAATTCTTGACTGCTGCTTCCATGAGTGTTGACTGTGGATTCAAGCAAAATGAAGTCTTAGAGACTGAGAATAGTAAAAGTAAACTATTCAAATGCAACCCATTGCATTGCTGTTGTTGAAACACATAATTTATTAGTAACTTTTGTTTTATTGAATTGATCAGTGACTAATTAAAAACAAAAGCATTGATGCTGAGTGAATTCAACTTGTAGTGATCCAATAGGCCAGATGAGAATTACCCTACAGGATTTTCCGAGGCTGTAATTTTTATAGGCGCAGACCGCCACATCTTTCACCTGAAGAGTAGCTTGTGAGTTTGAAAAAGTAACTTTCTGTTAGCGGCTGAGTCCTTTAAGTACTGTGCCACAGGACTCCTTCAGTGGCTAATATTTTCTCCAAAACTTACTTGCAATTCTCCCAAGTTGTTTGCTTCTAAGATTTTTTCTACTATGCCTTCTTAGCACTGTTTGTATAAAGTTAGTTTATTCATCGGACCTCCAAAAAACCTGTGAACATAATCCATTAACTTTTCATTCCACTTTTTGGAGCTGCTTCATAGTTTAAACATGATTCTCTCATTGCTTTTCTGCAGTCCCAAGTTAGTTTGGTGTGTGTGTGTATCTATGTGATTTAGCCAACTGGACTGGAATATAAACAAGTGATTTATTGAATTTGGGTAAATTTTATATACTTTACTATGAGGTCTTTCTGGACTGTTCTCTTTGGCACTAATCTTTGTACATACTCTTTAAGTGTATTTTTCATGTTTCCTGGTGGAAATCCACCCTGGTTTGCTTTGCATTCTAATTAGCCTTTTTATAAGGGATTGTTCTTCCTAACTGGATTCTAAGTTTTTTAAGGCCATGGACCAGGAGAGTTTTATTTATTTTGTGTTCATTTTATTAATAGCATCTAGCACAACATCTTACAAAATTTGATTGTCAAAGCACACTTACTGAATTAATGGTTGAGAAAGAATCCTTTGCTCTCTAGAGTTGACTTGCTGAACAACATTCTGATGCTCACTTCCCGTTTACTTAGTTGGTCCCATGGTAAATAATAATGTATTGTTTACTTCCACAACTCCTTAGGCCGGCTTTCACTTTTTCCCCACTTGTTCACGTTTTGCTTCTCCTGGAGGATCATCTTCTTCTTTTGATATATTGTAGGTGTGTGGGTTGTTTGTTAATGAAGAAGGTGGTTCCTGTCTCAGATTTGACTGATATCAGTGTGGTAAAATGAAGACCTGAAAAATGGCTTCCCCTCACCTCATCCACAGATCTCATTATGGGGAATGATGAGGCCATGAACAGAGCCCAGGGAGATAATTTGTCCCACAGAGCTCTTCCTTTTAGAGAATTCTTTTAACTATCTTCGCAATGCACTTTTTAACTATAATCCATTTGCTAGACATGGAAACAGCTTTATTATGTGTAATCTGTGTTTTAATGGGGCTTTACTGCCATTACAAAATAAGGTGAAAAAGTGAGACAATCAGTTGAAATCCTAACGGAGGGTTAGTACTACCTGGGTACAACTTTACCCATTCCATTAATGTACTTTAATGCTTCCACATGAAGCCTAATTAGTATTGTTTTGAGGCGCTGATAAGAATTTACACTTTTGATGTTGCTAGAGAAATGTACTACTATTTCTCCCCGCCCCCCCCCTTTTTTTTAAATACAAGTGAAAAGGAGAGCATTACTTGTTTTTCTGACATTTCCTCTGAAGTCTAAAGATTTCCTTACAGTCCATATGTTCAGTGAGGAAAGAAGGTTTTGCCAGACTTTATTTTAACTCATTCTTTTTTGTCAGTTTAGATTAGGAAGTAATTGTCAATGAAGCTTGTGGATTTTTAGCGGCATATCAAACTCACCCAAGATCATCTGGACATTATTGAGCTTAGATAAAATGAAAAATCGGTTCTTTGCAAATTGGCTATTTAAGAACTTCTTGCATTTAGGATGTGTTATAATATAAAATACAGAATGAACCAGCAGTCAGGATGGAGGTCCATAATCCACGTGCTAGGCTCACACACCTCAGCGTCTCTCCTAGAAAAGATGCAAAGCGGGATTTAAGAATGACACAGATAAACTCAGAATCCAAAAACAGTGAAAACCAAGATCATTTTGTTTACAGAAAATCCATCCAGTGCACTGCAGTACCTCCACTCGTCTGTCGGTTTGTTGTACCATGACAACTTGCAAAATTGCTGTGATGCTGGAAACTTTGCTACCAGCATTTCAAATACCAGTAGGGTCATCCATGGTGGATTGGTTTCAGTGGGGCTTCTAGATTAACACTGACTAGAAGGAAGGACATAGAGATCTAATTCTTATTTTAAAAAATGGTCCATGAAAACCTGGTGTGGTTGGTGGGTTGGAACCACTGAACTTGTGGTCAGCAGTGTCATGTGTGTCCTACGGTGTTACACTAGGACCCCCATCGTTCTAATCAGGATATCCTGCCCTCCCTCAGAGGTGCCCAGTCAGGCCTCTCTGCCAAAACAGTGTTAGACGCTCGCTTAGAGTGGCTGATAAATCCCCACAGGACACACTACTCCACCGAAAGCCTCAACTTGAAGGCATTTGGCTCTAACTCTATGGGTCAGCTAACCTAGCTCCCCTAGTTAATTACCTGGAGACACCCCACTCTACAAGCAAGCGTCCCACTCAGTCACTCAGCTTCATTTGCTCCACGGACTGGGAAGCCCACTGCTCCAGCCCAGTATTCTGGAGACAAACATGGTCCTTGATATGAAGAATATCAGATATCAGAGTATTAGATAGATAAAATCTGAAAAAGACTTGACTGGTGTTGCTAGGTTCAAGATGGAAGAAGATGCCTGCAGCTAAGGAATGCTGTTGTTATTGTTATGTGCCGTGGAGTTGGTTCTGACT